AAAAAATGCCTGGACCAGATGGCTTCACCACTGAATTTTATCAAACATTTAGTGAAGACCTAATACCCATCCTCCTTCAAGTTTTCCAAAGAGTAGAGGAAGAGGGAATACTTCCAAACTCACTCTATGAGGCCAGCATCACTCTAATACCAAAACCAGGCAAAGACACCACAAAAAAGAAAATTACAGACCCATATCCCTGATGAACATAGATGCAAAAATACTCAACAAAATATTAGCAAACCAAATTCAAAAATACATCAAAAAGATAATCCATCATGATCAAGTAGGATTTATTCCAGGGATGCAAGGATGGTACAACATTCAAAAATCCATCAACATCATTCACCACATCAACAAAAAGAAGGACAAAAACCACATGATCATCTCCATAGATGCTGAAAAAGCATTTGACAAAATTCAACATCCATTATGATAAAAACTCTCAACAAAATGGGCATAGAGGGCAAGTGCCTCAACATAATAAAGGCCATATATGACAAACCCACAGCCAACATCATATTTAACAGTGAGAAGCTGAAAGCTTTTCTGCTAAGATTGGAAACAAGACAGGGATGCCCACTCTCCCCACTGTTATTCATTATAGTTCTGGAGGTCCTAGCTACAGCAATCAGACAACACAAAGAAATAAAAGGCATCCAGATTGCTAAGGAAGAAGTCAAACTGTCCCTGTTTGCAGATGACATGTACATAAAAAACCCTAAAGAATCTACTCCAAAACTACTAGATCTAATATCTGAATTCAGCAAAGTTGCAGGATACAAAATTAATACACAGAAATCTGTTCCATTCCTATACACTAACAATGAACTAGCAGAAAGAGAAATCAGGAAAACAATTCCATTCACAACTGCATCAAAAAGAATAAAATACCTAGGAATAAACCTAATCAAGGAAGTGAAAGACCTATAGTCTGAAAACTATAAGACACTCATGAGAGAAATTAAAGAAGATACCAATAAATGGAAACACATCACATGCTCATGGATAGGAAGAATTAATATTGTCAAAATAGCCATCCTGCCTAAAGCAATCTATAGATTCAATGCAATTCCTATCAAAATACCAACAGCATTCTTCAATGAACTAGAGAAAATCATTCTAAAATTCATAAGGAACCACAAAAGAGCTTGGATAGCCAAAGCAATCCTGAGAAGGAAGAATAAAGCTGGGGGGATTATGCTCCCCAACTTCAAGCTCTACTACAAAGCTACAGTAATCAAGACAATTTGGTACTGGCACAAGAACAGACCCATAGACCAATGGAAACGACTAGAGAGCCCTGATATAAACCCAACCATATATGGTCAATTAATATATGATAAATGAGCCATGGACATACAATGGGAAAATGACAGCCTCTTCAACAGCTGGTGTTGGCAAAACTGGACAGCTACATGCAAGAGAATGAAACTGAATTATTGTTTAACCCCATACACAAAAGTAAACTCGAAATGGATCAAAGACTTGAATGTAAGTCATGAAACCATAAAACTCTTAGAAGACAACATAGGCAAACATCTCCTGAATATAAACATGAGTGACTTCTTCATGAATATATCTCTCTGGGCAAGGAAAACAAAAGCAAAAATGAACAAGTGGGCCTAAAATGAAAACAGCCCAAGCTTACACAGATTGTGTTTACACAAATAAACCTTATTTTCTTCCATGAAAAAATGGAGGTGCTGAGAAGCCACCAGATGTGACATCTCTAAGGTCACCGCCAGCCCCAACACACGCCCTGAAGGTGGAGCGCCTCCTCACAGGCTCCACTGCAGGCTGTGTAGAGTGCTTCCTTCAGGCTCCCTTGAAGGGCTACCTGGGGGCCCTGAAAGCCAGGCCAGCGCCAGGCTGGGGCCACTGGATCAGCTAGCAGGAGGCAACACACAGGCCCCGAACAGGTGAAAATGGCCACAGAGGGAGTGTTTACACCAGGGAAAGTGGCAAATGCTCCAGATCAGGCCCTGCCCCAGCCAGCTGGTAGCTATTTACCAGCACACCTCTGCCCACGGGGACCTGAGAGCCACTGGGGAGGTCATCAGCGATGGGAGGAAAGGGAGAAGGGTGAGCAGACATTCCTGAAAGGAAAGAAAGGTGAGCAGGCAGAGGTCATTCCTACAAGAAGCAGTGGGGGAGGACCCTGGGGACCAGTGATCCCACCCCTCTCCTCTTCCAGGGAGGTAGAAGGGTAGGTCTGAGCACGGTCCGAGGCCTCATGGCCAGTGGAGAATCAACCCCAGATTTCCTAAACAAAACCCAAACTGACACTCCTCCCTCTGAACCAGGCAGCCTCCACAAAACTAAACAGCATGCAGATCAGCAGCTACACGGGGATGGCGGAAGGGAAGGGAAGGAAGGTGTGGCCCTCCTTTTGGGACAGAGGTCTCTACGACTACAAGCAGGTATGTCTGCGGTGGGTAGCCCGGATCTCCCTTCCTGCCCATTTCTCCTGCATCCCCAGCCCCAGACCTCCCACAGACACAGCCTTCCGTGCCTCCCTGCACCACAGGATACCAGCCAGCTCAGTTAGCAGGTGGAGAGAGTTCCCCGAGCGCACTGGTCCTTCAAGGGATGGGTTCAGGGCGAGGTTATGTCCATCAGCTTTCAGGATAAATTCTCATTTTATTAATTCTCACCCATTATGCAGGCAAAAGTAAATAAGCTTTTCTCAGGCAGTCTGGCACAGAGGCCTTCCCTATTCAAACACTGCAAGAATCGACAGGCTTGGAAGTCCTGAGTTCCTGGGCTCCACTTCCCAGGGGGCCCCTGGCCTCCTGCCCACCACATCGAGCCTGCGGAAACAAGGCGAGCCAGGCCTCTTTGTGGTGGCAAGCCCCAGAGTCCAGTAGTCACGGCCCAGGCATGGCCTGAGTTCTCCGGAGAGAGCATCAGAGATCCTGGGCGTGTGGGGACTGCCAAAGAACGTCAGAAAGGGCCTGGCCAAAATTAGGAGCATCACACCTGTTCACTCAGCCCCTCCGTGGGGACAGCGCTTTGTAATAAGGGTGTTTATTTACTGTCTGTTTCCATTTAAATGATTTTAAAGGTTCAGAAGGAAGAAAGAAAATACACAGTTAAAATGAGAAGGAATCAGAAAAGTTAATTAACTAACCAAGAGCTGCTAAGGAAGACTTTTCAAAAGTGGATGCTGCCAGTGTTTATAAGGAGTTGCTCAGGGACCTTTTATCTGGTTGAGAGGAGATTGTTGCATGCTTTATGTCAGCTTCCTGTGGCCTGTACAGAAATCTCACGAGTTGGGGTTTTTTTCCCTCCGTCTATTTTTTTTCCATCTGCCCATTTCTGCTTTGGAAGGGAAGAAAACCAAAAACCACTGCAAGAAACCTGAAGTCAAGCTGCAAGGACTAGGAAAAGGGGAGATGGGACACAGAGTGCGATCTGCCTTGCCTGGCATGGGCCGTGCACACGGCCCGAAGAGCACATCCCCATCGAGACAGCAATATTCAGGACTTCACTAAACAGGAGTGTCTTCTAGCTTCAAAACTGCTCTATCCTACAGCTGAGCTAGTTGGGATGTTCCCCTGAACTGTGTTTTTACAGAGAGCTCTTTCTCACTCGCCTCCCAGGCACCCAGGCCACTGCTTCCTCCAGCCCCTTCTCAACACCATTTCTCCTCCACTGCAGCTCTATGAAAGGTGACCGGAGACTCTGCCCAACAACTGGAGGCCGAGATCTCTTTGGTTTTCCCTGGTGTGGCCTCCCACGTTCCCCAAAATGCTGTTCTTTTTTTCTGTCTTTCCAATTTGAGGGCAGTTTGTTGACTGTGCATATGCAGGTCCTAAATGAGTTTTCTCTCAAGTTCCCAGTGCTTTGCCAATACTCAAAGAAATCCAGAGTCTACTGTAAAATTTTCAGGTGAGACACAAGGGTGTGCACGCCTCCCCAACACTTCCCTAGAGTTCTATCTGGAGAGGAGGAAAGGGGACCCCAGAGCTGGCACCAGGACCATGGGGGTGCCCACTGTCCCGCTTTCTGCCCCCCACATTCCCACGCCTACTCCGAGTACCAGTACACGAAAGCCCCACGTGACCCCAGGACCAGGGTGCTGGGTGCAGGCCTGTCAGCTCTCAGCCTGGTGCTGCTTCCAGCCAGGCTATGTACCCAAAGCCAGAGCTGTGTGACCTTCCTTGTACCATGGACGGTGACACCCATGGACCTTTTCTTATGGTAATGTTTTAAAATGCAAAAATAAAATACATAAGACTATAAAGGAAAGTAATAACACTGAACTAACACTGATCCAAATATTTTCAAAAACCCAGATTTATGGTACAGTTACGTAATGTATGTGCTTCTTTATTAATGATTATAAATCAGGCCCCAGCAGGGGGTCTGGTAATGTTGGTAACTCTGAAGCACTAGTGAACATAAACAACACTTGGTGGGATCTGCCCCCACCGGAACCTGACTTGAGCACAGCTGTGGTCGCTGCTGCTGGCCCAGTCCCGGTGCTGCTGGCCCTACCATGGGTTGTGGCCCACATTTACAACAGAAGAAATGGTCCGTTTCAGTGAGAGGTGAAGGACAGTGAGGTGACTGAGTTCGAAGCCACCCCAGATTTCATTTGTGGATCCCTATGCTCAAGAACACCTTTTCCACCCCAACTTCCTTTTCCACCCAGCCCCCCAGCCCCACGAAGGCACTACATGACTTCTGCTTGGATGGTGTTGGGGGGCAGGAAGCCCCTTACCTTTGCTGGATGAGCAGAAAGAACATAGCTTTAAGGGTCCCCGCTTAGGAGAGAGACTAGCCTGCAGGCACCATTAAACCCCCCTCCCTTTTATCCTTGGAGGGGGTGTCACAGAAAAATGCCCCATGGCTCCATCCTCCTCAGTCCAGCCCACTGAGCAAGTGCCCTGCTGTGGTTCCGAGGAGTCTGGCCCCTCTAACCACCACGCCAGCTCCCCTCTCACCCCAGCCCACAGCAAAAGCCAGCCATGAACAGCCAGGGGAACGCGTACCTTCTGGCTCCTCCACGCTGCTGGCTGTGGTGGTCGGTGGTGCCACGGGGATCTCTGTGAGGTCCAAACAGGAGGAAAACAGGTATGAAGATGTTATTTTTGACCTTAGGGAAGAATGAGCACAGCACAGACTCCTCCTAACCCTCCTGGGCTTCCCTCCCTTCCTCCCTCCACAGCTCCAAGGAGGGTCAGGGAGGAGGAGGAAGCCGGTGTGGGGCCCAGCACAGTGCCTGTCCTTTGCAGGGAAAGCAGGGTGGCTGGCAGCATGGAGAGCTGACCTTGTCCCCTCCACGGGTTATGTGCCATCACCTCAGCTCAGCCCCTGGGGCAGCCGAGAGGGGCTTCCCTAAACCCTGCTCATCACCATGTGGCCACCTGGCCTGCTCACCTCTGACCTGTACTCACTGGTGGGGAAGGATTCCATGGCAGAGGTGGCAAATGGGCCTGGGAGGCATCTCACACATGCACAGAGCGGTCTGCACCCTTGGCCCAGGTTCCCACGTGCTCACATCTCACAAGCTAAGGCATCTTTTTGGAGGGCAGAACAGAGTGAAAACACAGACTGAAGGGCCTGAGAGATGCATGTGCTTTCCTGGGATTGTTCCTTTTCTACCTAGAATGGCAATTAGCTCCCACCAGCTCCTGGCTCCACCCCTGTGCTCAGAGTAGGTGAGGGGGTTCAGCCAGAATCCAGGAAAGACCCAGGCATCCCAGCTCTGGCTTCCTCCTTCTGAGGCCAAACCACAGACCTGAAGTCCCTGAGGGGCAGGGTCTCACCTACTCTGGTGGTGACCACGTGGACAGGGGATCACAGAGGCCTCTGCAAGTCCCACTGACTCTGGCCATCACTGACGGTTGGGGTACAGCCTCCCTTGGACCCCCAGACTCTAGATCAGCTGGGAGTGGAGGCGTGGTGGGTTGAGATGGGAGGAGCGCACAGGGCACCCAACCCTCATTTTGGAGCCGAATCTTGCTCTTGGGTGACTTCTCAGAACAAACCACAAGTGCCCTGTCACAGCTGCTCCTCAAGAAGATGACCTCACACTAGGCCCTCTCTAGGCCTCCTGTGCTACCTGCTCCTGCAGGAACATTCCAAAGGGAACATCTGGATGGCCCAGCCTGCAAGTCCGTAAGTGGGGCTGGGGCCAATGGCCATGGAGCCACGGTGGCTGCCCAGCCACAGCACCTTGGTCCTGGCTCTGGGGTGTGTACAGAGGGCTTGCGGCCCTCAGAGCTGTGATGACACAGGTACAAGTGCACAGGCACCATCTGGGTGCCCATGGCCGGGCATCCTCAGGAAGAGCCCATGAAAGTCCCAGCATGGAGTCCCAGGCCTTCTGACTGGTGGTGGCAAGGACCGCCCAGCATCCCCCCAACCCCTTGCTGGAGGAAGGGAGAAGGCACATGGCGTGTGGGGCAGAGAGCCAGCATTCCCGGTTCCCAGGACCCTGTCTCAGGTTCTGAAACGTCAGCTCAGAGTCAAGGTCCTTTCCTTGGGGATTTGAGATGTTGGTTCCAGCCATGTCCAAGTAAGCTGACAGCTCCCAGCTCCCCTCCAAAAGGAGGTGGCGTTTCTTCCCCCAGGTTTTCATGCTCCCACGTGGTGGTGCTGATTTCTCCCCAGCTCTCTAAAAATGTTCACTCTGAGGCTTTTTGGATGGTAGAAAAGAAGGGTTTCTGAAAGTTGTGAGATTGACAATTAGATGTTGTCCTGAAAACCATTTCAGCTTGCACTGCCGTGGAATGAATACTGAGCTCAATTGCCTGAGGCTCAGATTGGCATATCTGCCGCCAACTCCCTGCAGAAATGTGTTCTGATGTAGGAACTGGTCAGAAACGCTGCTAAAGTGAAGCGGCCCAGATGCGTTCCTGGATGCGAAGGTCACATCCCACTCATACAGGTGAGGTGTGGCACATTCAAGGCTCCCGCCTAGTGCATACACATGTGCGGATCTCTGTAAGGTCTGCGGGAACTGTTTCAGGGGTCCCAGGAGGCTGCTAGGGGTGCCTGGCCTCTGGCTTGTATCTAGTTCGTTCCAAGTCACTCATGACTGACCAGAGAAGCCAACACCCACCCAGAGCTAAGGGATGCTGAAAACCCTACAGCTAGGGTCCTCAGGCTTCTCCTGTAAAGGACCAGCTAGTAAACATTTTAAGCTCTGCACGATTAAACTGCCTCTGTTGCAACCACTCCATTTTGCCAGTACAGCTCAAAAAAAGCCACAGGCAGCATGGACACAAGTGAGCATGGCCTTGTCCCCAATTACGGACACTGAACTTCTCATTTTATATCCTTTTCAAAGCTCATAAAATATCAGTCTTTTGAATTTTGTTTCTTCATTGAGAAAGGGTGAAAAACAGAACATTGAGCCACACAAAAACAGGCAGAGTGCCGAATCCCCAGGCCAGAGTGCGCTGCCCCTGCTCAAGGACAGCAAGCTTCATTCCTGGGACCTGCCTACTTAGCTGGGTTTCTTCTGCTCTCCTTTCTGGGGTCAGGTCAGCCACACACAAGGCATCAACTAGGCCAAGGCTGGGGCCAGCTCTCAACCAGGCTTGACTTCCCAACAGGGCTAATTCTCCACTGGTAACACCTATGGGATCCTACCAGTTGTAAAATATTAAGACCCTTCTGAGTCTAGGCCCCTGAGTGGCCCCTACATCTCACTCAGCTCCTCCCCAAGTTCCAGCGGCTAAGGGGCTAAGACCTGGCATGTGGGGGCCCCCAGGGGTGCTACCATCCATCATAGGAGCGTGGGGACCATGCACCAGAGCCCTGCCCGGCTTCTCTCAAAGGCCCTGCAGTGTCAGTCCTTGTTCTGAACCTGCCGGAGCAGGGGAGACTGGAATTCCAGCAGCAGCAATGGTGACTTCTGGTACAAGCCACCCTAAGTCCAGGGTCAAGTAGAATATGGGAGCAGGACCTGGGTGAGGAGAGGGCCTTACATTGCCCCAGGCATGGGGGATTCAGTCTTTTTGGGGCAGATGCCTGCAGGCTGGCTTTGCAGAGCCCCGGCTGCTTCTACACAAACCTCAGAGGCTGGGCCTCACTGAGCCCAGGCATGAAGGCAGGGGCGGTAGCGACCAGCACCACCCCGGGGAGGTTAGTGAGCAGTGCTCAGAAAGGACCTCCCTCCCCGCACCCACGCCAGTGCCGTGGGAAAGCAGCCGCCGTACTTATGCAGGGCGCGATGGGCGAGCGGCTCTGCTGGTAGCCCTTGGCGCAGCGGTTGCACGTGATGCCGGTAACGCCGTCCTTGCAGGGACACTGGCCAGTGGTCTGGTTGCAGGTTTTGCCGGCAGCGCCCACAGGGTGGCAATCACAGGCTGTGGAAAACACACACAGGAGGTCAGAAGGTGGGGAGGGCCTGTACACACCTCCCTGGGGCCCTCTCCACCCAGGGGCTGCCCATGGCCCCCACCCTTGGGGGGCAGACCCACCCCACACACGTTCCAGAAGCTCTGATGACTGGCCACCTGCCTACCTGGGAATGGGGGACACCAATCAGAATGGGCCCATGTGAGAGGCTGCTTTGGCAGCAGGGAATGAAGCTGGGAGCCCCTCCAAAGCCCCAGGAGGAAGGCCTATGTTCACGTGTGTTTTCAGGAATGCAAAGCCCACAGGCTGGTCTTGAGTGGCTGGACCTGGAAGTACACCTTCCCTCCACCGGGCAGGTCTGTGTGTCTCCTCCTCTGCCCCAGCCAGCTCCTGGCCCCCAGGCTTCCTTGCTGACCCCCGGGGAGCAGGGATGGGTTCTGGGGCCTGATGAGGGCCTGGGCTGGCAGCCAGGTGGTCTGAGGCTCAGGCTTCTGGATCACAAGACCCATACGTTGCAGCACCAGGAAGGGTCACAGTGATTGTCCAGCTGAACACCCTGATTAATTGTGCAAAGACAAGAGGTGAAGGAGGCGCACAGGGTCTAGAGAAAGGGAACGGTCACGTGGCAGGTAAAGCAAGGCCCCGATTCTCAGGCCAGGGACTGCCGCACCGCAGAGCAGGCCCCACATCTTCCTGCTGGCTTGGAACAGCCTAGAGCGCTGGGATTGCCCACCCATCACACTCCATCCCAGGGCTCCCTCCCAGGGTTCCAAAGACCCAACCCCAGAGATGGAGAGGCCAGAGGGCCTTGGGAGGACACCTCTGTGGGAACTGAAAGCTTGTGTTCTCCCCCCAAATGCATATGCTGAAGCCCTAAGCCCCAAGTATAATGGTATTAGGAGGCAGCGCCTTTAGTTGGTGATTAGGTTTGGATGAGGTCATGGGATGGGCTGGTGCCCCCCTGCGGGAAGAGACCCTGGCCCTCCCCACAAGCACACAGCCAGAGCGCAGCTGTCTGCAAACCAGGAGGCGGCCCTCACCAAACACTGAATCTGTGGGCACCTCATCTGGGACTCCTCGGTCCCCAGGATGAACGTTGTTGAAGCCACGCAGTCTGCGGTGTTTGGTGATACACCCAAGCTAAGACACTGTGGCGTGGGCAAAGCCCTGGCATGCCAGCAGGTCCAGGACACGGGCCGGATCCTGCCTCCCCGACTCCCAGCAGCGCACTCCCAGGGTGGGTGGGGAAGGGAAGGCGGGGTAGAGGGGCGACCCTTCTGCCTCTCCCCCTCCTCTTCCCTCTCCCTCCTCCCCAGCGAAGCCTGGAGAAGGTGGGCAGGGAGTCAGCAGCAGGCATCCTGCAGCCATTTCAGTAGGTGCCACAAGCTGCTCTGTGTTTCTACTCCAAATGGGAAAAAATATCCAAGAACATAAAAGAGAGCAGAGCTCCTAAAAGGAGCGAAACCTGAACCTCCCCAGCCAGCCCTGCTCAGCGTGTGTGCACAAGCCTGCAAGTGAAAACACAGCCTCTCCCACCAAGCCAGCGCGCACACAGGAGTGGCTACTGAGGAAAACTAGGAATAGGAAGGAGGGAGGGAAGGGAAGTAGAAAGGGGAGGAATGTGAGGAATTGCTTGTCAAAGTTGGGCCTGGACTCCTGAGAGCTTCTGGAGGCTCTAGGAGTGGGGGTCCTGGCTGTGGGTGCTCCCTGGCAGGTCAGAGGAGGGCGGGGACGCAGGCCTGGTGACGGAAGGCCCTGGATGCAAAGCGGGCAGCCTGGCGGTCTGCCTGCAGGTGTCTCATATTGCAGGATCCGTGGGGGGAAAGTGGAACTGTCCCCCCTAGCTTGCCCCTGTAGACAGCAGTAAATCCTTGCTAACAATTTGTCTTCTTAAATCGACCCTAAATTCAAGTTCATTCCCTATTGTTTGGTCTGATCTTTTCTTCCTCAGTAAAAAAAAGACAGGCTTGACACAAGCTGTGGGTGAGGATGTGAGGAGGGGAAGGCTGGAGAAGACCTCTGATTTTTCCCCCAGGCCTCCTAAATCTGTTCCTGTGATGGGAAGGGTGCTCAAGCACAGACAGCATCTCTCAGTTGTCCAGGTGAAAACAGAGGGCCACAGCACGGAACCCCACTCTCCAGAGGCCCACGCCAGTTGGCCTCCCTTGGCCTGCTTTGCAAGCCTGCCAGTAATGCTGACATCCACACAGGTGCCCTGTGCCCTCCCCTCAATGCTGATGGAACACAGCTGTGTATCAGTAACTTCTAGATCCCTGAACTTGGCTGGAAGGAGGTCATCAAAGGTTGCTTGGTCACTGAAGGGTCAGAGGCACAGCCACAAGCTCATGTCGTATTCACCGAGGCAGGAGCTAGCCCGGAGCACAGGGAGGACTGTGTGTCACCCTCACCTGTGGCCCCTTGCGCCTGGTGACCTCCCAGCTGCCTGGGGGACGTGCTGCCAGGGAGGGGCCAGGCGCTGGTGGAGGCTGGCTAGAGCCAAGGGCCATCCTCAGCGATGCTCCGCAGAGTCGGCTTTCTGTGGCAGGCACTTCTAAGGGCCCATCCTTCAAGTAAAGGACAGGGTGCTCTGCTGCTCGGTTGCCAAATCTTTCTCCCAAGATGCTGCAAAGATTCTGGCCAATCGGCCCCTTCTCCTGGTCTCCTGGTCTCCAGAGGCAGCAGGCTGACTGTGCTTCCACGAAAATCACTGTTCTAGGATGAGAAGCCATCTGGATGCCAAAGTAAGGGTAGGGGCCTCAGAAGGCTACTCAGATCACCTCCAGGGTGGTGGGGCCATCACCGAGGCGGAACGTTCCACCAGCATAGCACCACCACCTAGACACCTGTGAACACCTTACAGAGCATCCACATTCTCCCACATCATCCCCTCTAGCACCCATGCCAGCCTGTAAAATTAGCATGACACACATTGAGGAGGAGCCAGGCCCTGGGGGAGGAAAACCACAGACGAAGGGAGGCCGGGCAGGGGGACGGAAAGGGCCTGATCACTGAGGCTGCCCCCTCTGCACTTCCTGTTCTACAGGAGAAACACCTGCTCACCTGCAGAAACCAAGGTACATGGGTTTTGTTACGTGCAGCCAGGTGCAATCCTAACAGAGAAACTAGCATTGTACTTACTCTCAATTCCAAGAAAACAGCCCCACAATAAGGACTTTCCCCCAAAATCATGGCTAAGGAAAGCCAAGTTACACCTCTGTGCACAGAAGGGTGAGCTTCAGGCGTGGGGAGGACTGACAAATGACAATGCCCCGCAGCAGATTCCACGACGGCCTGGGACAAGGGAGTCCAGCTACCCATGTCAAAGGGAGGGCAGGCTGAGCCCACAAGTTACAAAGGAGACCCCAGGCCCTGGCCCTTAGGGAGAGAAGTCAAAGGGATCCTGCTGTAACCCTGAAACACACCCAGACACACACAGGTTCCTATAAACTCACCTACACAAAGACATTCTTCAACCCGCAAATGACACATGCAGATACACACAGATTCCTGCAAACTCTCAGAGACAGTGAGCAGGGGGGCGGAGGGGCAGCACTGGGCTGGGAGAATGAGACAGGAAGGTGAGTGGAGGTCTTTCCCTTCACATGGGTCTGTAAGGAGACCAAGAGAGAGCCTCCCTAATTCTTCTGAGAATGTGGCTGGGGTCAGGACGTGTGCAGCCACAGGAAGCCCAATTGGTGACACGCGCTTCCCTGGAAGTCAGCCACTTTTTCAGAAGAGGTTGATTCTTTCCACGGCAGGTCACCCTGTTTGCATGGAGCAGGCAGCACCTGGTCATGGGAAGTAATCTACCCAAGGGTTTTTCCATAAAGAGAAAGGTGAGACCAGAAGGAAGCGCAGGGCCCTGAGAAGGCAGCAGGATTAGGTTTCTCACGAACACAGAGGGCTGGGAGGCCTCCCAGGGCAGAGAACCCAGACTGTCTGCACTCTGGGCCGCCAGATAGGCACGGCCAGCTCAGGGCACCTGGAGACCCAGGTCTGGGCCTGTCTTGCCAGTAAGACTGCATGACCAGGTCAGTGCCCTGCTCTCTCTGGACCACAAGTGGCCCATCTGTAAGGACAGAGGTCTACACTCTCACTGAAGTCACTTCCAACTCAGCTGTCTAGGGCTGGGTTTCTCTACAGCTCCAAGGATCCAGGACAGCGGCCTGTCCCCGTGGACCATCCCCCTACCGCTGCAGTTCACTGTGGTGTGCTGGCCCAGGGGGCTGGGAAAATGTTCACGCCGCTGGGCGCAGCACGCCGTCCATCCACGTGGGCTGATGACCCCGCCCCGACACCATCGCCCTGGCAAAACTGACCTGGAAGGCAGACAGTCCTGATCCCAGGCTGCTCATCCCAAGCAGCTGCCTTTCCCTGCTCCTCCTGGCACTCTCTGACCCTGACCCCTGAAGGCCCACAACCTCTATCAGGACAAGACATGCTCCTGAGACTGGCCTTCTCTCCACTGCAGCCACACCATGGCTTTTGAACATCCACCTTGGGCTCCCATCAGGAGGCCTGGTTACTTTTCCTGAAGACCTGGCTCCAGGAGCCCTCAGGGTCAGGCAGGACCCGCAAATGGCAACAAGCCCAGGACATATGCTGTGGAAGAGAGGGGGGCCAGCTTGGCACCCAAACCCTTCGGAGAAGATTCGGGCAGGAGGGGAGACAGAACAGGCTCTGTACTAACCCTGAGTTCAGACGTCATCACAGCTGCCACCCCGGCTCCCAGCCGATGATGAAGGACAGCTTTGGGCCTGACCTCATGTCACAGACTCAATTAGCCCCCCATTATCCCTGTGTTGTAGTCCTAACTCCCAGTACCTCAGGCTGTGACTGTATTTGGAGACTGGGTAAGGTAAAATGAGTCACTAAGGTGGGCCCTCTTCCCGTATGGCAGGTGTGCTTGTAAGAAGACATTAGGACACAGACATACAGGGGAAAGACCACATGAGGGCCCAGGGAGAAGGTGGCCATCTGTGTGAACACAGATTTCATTCTCTAGGAT